AAAACCTTCAAGATGCTGGGGGGGGAGCCAAAACCCATCACCCCACCAGCCATCTCCACAGGTGTGAGTCCCCATCCGGCCCCCAGGCCTTCTGGCAGAGCCAGGATTTAACCCCTTTTCTGAAGCCATGAGGGAGGGGGGCACACCAAACCTCGGGAGGCAAGGCGTTCCATAGGGCAGGAGCCACAGCAGAAAAGGCCTTCTGCCTAGACCCCACCAATCGGAATTCCTTGACCGGTGGGATCTGCAACCTGCCCCTTCTGCTGGACCGAGTGGGGCGGGCTGAAACAACCGGGGTGAGACGGTTCCTCAGATAATTATGGGAAGGCTCCAAAGATTCCCAGTACGATGGATGAGAGAGCCACGTATGGGTTGCAGGTTGCCCACCTCGGTTCTAGATCTGTTTTCATTAGGAAAAAGCACTGGGGTGTCTTTTTATCTTTACAGAGTTATTTCAGAACTGACTTGATTGTTGTATATCATCTCATATGGAGCCAAATTCTGGAATGTGTAAATAAAAATTGCCATGTGATATATAAAGCCAATTAAATAGAAATGGTCATTGCTGTACTAGCTTCTCCTGGCAGTGTTAATGGTAGACAGGAGAATTTGCGTCTGTATTATTAAAGAACTATCCTGATTTTTTGGAGAATGTTTTTAAAATGTAAGTAAAATGTTGAAGCTGCCCCTTCTGTGTATCCAGCCTGAACCAATTTCTTCTGACTTTTTAATCCAGGATGTTGAGTCAGCTGCTGATGTTGTCTTGTGGGGATCTCTGTTTCCTCTGTTAAGAGATGAATCCTTCTTACCAAGTGAGTGATGCCCATGGCTTAGTTCAGCTTTCTCTAACCTGATAACCTCCAGATGTGTTGGACTTCAGTTCCTTCCATCTCCCAAAGTTGGGGAAGGTACCAAAGGTGGCCTCCATGCTTTAAGACAACTAGATAGCAACTTCTGTTTACCATTTGGCTGCTAGTTTGCACAACCCCTTTTTTTTTTTTTTTTTGCTGTTCCTTTATCAGTTCATATTTGTTGGAGAGAAGTTCCTTCTCTCACTTTCTACCTTCCCTAAATGATGGAGGTACCTCGATAATGGCTAAAACAAAATCCCAGGTACCTCAAAAAAGGCTGTCTTTGGAGAATCTCTTCTACACCAAGCCATCATATACAGGATTCTGGGACATTGCTGACTGCATGTTCATCTTTGCTGTTGTGTCTGTAACTGCAAGGGAAGACTAGTAGTAGGAGGCAAGATCCTTTCTTTCAGGCATGGATTGTCTGCCATTACTGACCTTTTTGAGGAACCCCTGCTAAGTGTCCCAGGATTTAAAAAGGGGCACTTGGCTAACTTTCGAGTGCTGTTTGGATTCTTAGCTTTAACTCTTTGAAGTTATCTACCCAGTTTATTCCTGTAGTGTCTGGCATGCTCAGACTGGCTTCTTCATTCTTTGGTCTACTTTTCTAATTAATTGTGCAGGGGGGGCATGAATGAATCTTGGCAGTTAGGCTTACTGGCTCTTGCCTGCAGGTATGATGGGGGACATTAACAAAAATATTCTCTTTGGAACCTAACCAAATGAGAGTTTTTTCTGGCAATAACTGTGTTCTAATTTAATATTCAAGATGAGCTGAAAGCCCTGAGGAGTTGGTTCCAAAACATGAACCTGAAGGAACACTGCAGAAAGGCAGTGGAATCTATATGGACGCCCAAGGGATTGCTGGAACTTAAAGCCTATCTACAGAAACATCCTGCTCCCAGTATGGCCTTTGAGAAATCAGCTACCAATGAAGCCAAGGTATTCATCCTCCATTTTTTGTGTGAAGCAGGCCTTTTTGTCTCACTTAATACAAGAGCATCTTAAGTCTGTAGCATAATAAGTTGAGGTCGTTTAATTAAAGAATTCCTTGCACTTATCAAAGTGGTGAATCAAGGAGAAAGTGAGACGAGAAACGCCCAGCATTATCTTGGATGGACTTTAGCATACAATTACTTCAGATTCAGAGGAGTTCCAGACTATCGGAACAATGGCTTCAATTGTTGAATAGGATCTGAAGTGGGAAATGCTATGGTCTAGAAAAACGGTAGCCCTGTGTAGGCGAGAGATGGTATCTCCTGCTTAGAGCTTGTTTTATTAAATAGATTAGCCCTAAACTACTACTCCATCATTTAAGGAGGGAAGGTAGCCAAGGGGAGGGTTTGTGCTATGGTGGTTGTTTTAGATTTTGGTATTCCCTAGCAATTATCATGGTCCATTAGTAACTCATAGATGTGGGTTGCTGAATATCTAGAAAGCAGCTTTTCAGGATGTCTGTCCTTCTCTCTAGGCAGAGGAATCAATCCAGCAGCATTTGTCTGATGTGGAGATTGAAGCCATTGCTGAAGTCTGGAGCAGAGGACCAGCCAGCCTTCCTAGCCCTTGGAAACCACAGCACCCTATGTAAGAATCTTGTTGGGCTGAAATGCCTTTGTGGTGGTAATAAGGGGTGCCAAAGAAGATCTTAAAACAGAGAAACAACTCACCTTCTCTTTGGGCTCCAAAGGACCCAAACAGTGGGATGTGAGGCCTCCCTGTGTCTGTATTCACTATGAATGCTACACTCTAAATATAGTATTAAGTATATCAGTATTAAAAGGTTGTTTCCCAACCTTAACATTATCAAAACGCAGCAACCTAATTCCCTACAGCACCCATTTGTCTGTTTCTGAAACATTATCAAAACGCAGCAACCTAATTCCCTACAGCACCCATTTGTCTGTTTCTGAAACATTATCAAAACGCAGCAACCTAATTCCCTACAGCACCCATTTGTCTGTTTCTGAAACATTATCAAAACGCAGCAACCTAATTCCCTACAGCACCCATTTGTCTGTTTCTGACACAGAAACATGTAGCTTTCCGGATACTGTTGTATTATAATTTGATCGTTGGCAGTGCTGGCTGGAACTGGAGTTTCAGCAACATCTGGAGAGCCACAGATTATTCACCTCTTGATGTTTACTAACTTCTCATGGAGGTTTGGCACAACCCTGAAAGTTAAAAGCCAATTCTCAAATCGTTCAAAGTATTGAGATCTGCAAGTTCATGAATTTGTAAAAGGCCAATTTTGCCTATAAAAAGTTAACATTTCTAAATTATAGATTCCTTAGGGAACTTTGTTGCTTCCAATAGATGTGCCCTTGTCTTTCCTGGGGCATTGTATAGCTTTCTCCATCTGCCTTACTTCTCCCCTATCCCATCCCACTTCAATTATTTGAGCAAGCCACAAATCTGAATTCCTCTCTGAACTCATGTGTCTGTCCTCCCCAGAGTGCCTGTGGAAGGCATGAAGAACGTGCTGATCACAAGCGCACTGCCCTATGTCAACAATGTGCCTCATCTTGGAAATATCATTGGCTGCGTTCTCAGTGCTGATACCTTTGCCAGGTAAGTTAAAGTATCTCTTTCCAGGCCAGACTCCTGGTCCATGTGAACTTATCAATTATTCTAGCAGTGAATTTCTGAATTCTGCCTTTGCCATACCTGCTGCCTAAGATTGTGCCTTGTCCTGGAGCTGTTGGATGTAAGACCTTTTGCATACAAATAATGTGCTGTATTGGAGTTATGGTCCATTCAACATAAAACAGGATCATATGAAGCCTTAATGCTTATTGGTACCAATAAGTCTCCCACTTTTGAAACAGGTAGCATTTTTTTTTTTAGGTACTGCCGTCTGCGCAATTGGAACACACTCTATGTGTGTGGTACTGATGAGTACGGTACTGCCACAGAGACAAAGGCCATGGAGGAAGGACTGACACCACAAGAGATCTGTGATAAGTACTACTCTGTCCATGCACAAATCTACCAATGGTTCAACATCTCTTTTGATTACTTTGGTCGCACCACCACAGCCCAACAGACCACGTAAGTGCTGCAGTTAGAAGTATTTTCAATTGGGAAAGAAAAACAGAAATGAGACATAAATGTTTTTTTCTCCTTCCCTCTCTTACAGTCTTCAGATTTCCTAAGTTTTGTATTGTAACTGCGATAAAGTTTGCTCCTATTTTGGAGCTAGCTAGCCAAAAGGCTGACAAATGATCAAAGGTAGTTTCTGTAGCTAACTTCAGAAAGTGTGCAGAGGTGAACACTTTGAATGCTCAAAGTAAAGAACTGCTATTCATTTAAAGCATTATTATCCCATCCCTTAGCCAAGCTTTGACATCATCAGAGAAGAGCAACTATTGCCAGTCACAGTTAGAAATGACTGCCCAGTTTTGGCAAGTTTATCATCTCCTCCTGTTACTTATCTATTGTGATACATTCCCTTGAAACTCTAACCATCAGTGGAGAGATTAGTGGGCATTTCTTGAGGGCCTGTAATTTCCTTGTCAGGTCAAATTAGTGGATCGCTGGGAGGTAACAGGTGAATGCTTTGGAAATGTCCATTGCATAAGTTGGTTTGGGATGTGAGTTCTTTCTTCAGAGTAAACTTTGTAAATTTCATTCGTGTGTCACAAATGAGGATATGGCAGGACTGAAAGTAATACAGATCATATGTTCGGTATCCTCTGTTCTGTGTTGGCCAATCTGAATATACAGTAATTCCCAAATGAAGCTATGTTCCTGATTCATTAGCTTCTTGCTTCATCAGTTTGTAGGTGATCCTATTTTGTAGTAAATAGATGCCAAAAGTTTGACAAGATTTTTATTTTCACCACTGTATTGAGAAAAATACAAAAGTATTTAAAAGTGTTAGATGGCATTAAGTCTTAATGGCAAGCTGGGAGATTTAAACCATTATTTGTTGAACAGGCCATAGTTATACTAAGCCAAAAACAATTAACCCAAGTTTCTTGAATATAAATCAACTTGATCAGTCTTTGGATTTCTTTGATCTGATTCACTCATCATTCTAAACCCAGAACAACCCATATTACCATTATGTATGAACCAGGTTATAGAAATCCAGACATGGATCAGATTTACTTATTTTCAAGGAGCAGCCAATCTATTGCCCTTCATATATTTTAGATTACTTGGCTGATGGCTGCAGTGGCTGAGAGTTGCATTCCAGAACATGTGGAGAGCATTCAGTTACCCATCATTGCTTGTATTATTGAGATAGGTCATGTTGTCATTTTAACTTAGTGCCTTGCTTTGAATTCCACCATGTCAACATTGGCCACATCTTTGGGACGCAGATAAACAGCTTAATTAAAATGAGCCAGGGCTCAGTACTAAATCCAGATGTTATTGTGCTCTGCTATACACCGAGAGGCACTCATCCACTCACGGGCAATTAACAACAGAGCCATGGAATTATACATTGCAGGCCAATATGCGCTGCTAGATATACATCTGCATGGAATAAGACCACAGTAAGACCACAATGAGTCATTTTGCTTTCAGGGCATGAGGTGCTTTGCCTGCCTGCCTACCTGCCTGCCTACCACTATACTAAAAAAAATTCAGAAGTACAAATGAAATAGACATGTCAACATTCTTTGGAAACGGAGACAAATTAAAGACAAGCAATGCTTTGCTGTCAACAGGCATCCATGTTTCCAAGCTACCCTTTATACTTTAAAAAATATTTGGGTGTATGTGTGAAGATTGGAAGCTGTTCCTTACATCTCCCCTTCTTTAACCATTCAGAATAGCGCAAGGCATCTTCCAACAGTTGCTGGAGCGCAACTATCTTCTGACAGAGACTGTGGATCAGTTGAAGTGTGAGAAATGTGTGAGGTTCCTAGCAGACCGCTTTGTGGAAGGCATCTGCCCTTTCTGTAACTATGAAGAAGCCCGTGGAGATCAGTGTGACAAATGTGGCAAACTCATAAATGCCACTGAACTTAAGGTACTGTTGTTGAAACATTTACACAAGCCTGAACCTGATCTTCAGAGTGGACTCTTTTTCCAATAAAAGTTGATGGAATCCAAGTAATCTGTTTTACTGAGACTCCATTAAACTAGATAAGTTCTTCTCTCCCTTTCTTAAGCACAATCCCATTACTCTAGTTCATGTTCCCTTCTCAGCCTTTGAAAAATTCTCCCATGATAGTACACTGAACTATCTTGCAATGTTTAATTTTGGTTTAGCCAGATGCTGTGATTTGTAAACCATGGTTTATGACAGTAAGTTATTGAGCCTAGTCAATTGTGACTTATTTACTAAACCATGGTTAAAGAAAACCTACCTTAATAGAATGTATGCCCTAGTGCTTATACAATACTTAGACCATGGGCTTTCCTTATGACAAATCAGAAGTCAGCATTATTGTCCTCATTGTACAAGTCAAGTCTTGCCTTAATTTATCTAATGAATCCATATCATTAAATATCAGGTATATCTTCATTCACAACTCAATTATTTACATCTCTCTCATGGCTGGAGAATCCAGCATGCTGCAATCAAAGGGAAAGTCAGATATAAGCAAGTGATGCATTTGTCTTAAATTCTTGGACCTTGCAATACAGTAAATAGGATTATTTTTATTCACACTGATGTCCAGTCTCCCCTCAGGATCTGAGATATTAACACTGTTGTAGAAATGTTATATTTTTGTCTCTTTTACTCTGTTAGATTTGTTGCATTTTATTTTTGCTATTGTAGCTTTAAAAAGAATATTTTCCCTTGTTTCGCTTTTTCCTTTGTTTGCTGTGCTACTTATATTGCTATATTTCCTCATGGCCATCTACAGTTTTAGAAAAGGACAAGCATACTTCCATATTTAACTTCCTCCTTGTTGTTCTTCACTTGATTTTCCCTCCCTGCTTTTCCACTTTTATTTTAACACAATCTCAACATTATTGGATCCTTCCCGCTCCACTTAAGAGATACTTAAGAGGTTAAGTCTCTTAGAGGGAGCTCAGTTAAAATTGACCTTTACCTGGCCACAAGCAGGCAGCGTCTGGATTTTTTACTATCTATAAGAAGTCAAGACTTGTTATAGATAGTAAAAAATCCAGACGCTGCCTGCTTGTGGTCAGGTAAAGGTCAAGACTTGTTATAATAATTTAATAATTAAAATATTTTTATAATAACGAGTTAAGACTTGTCAAGGGCCTATAACTCTTTTGCACTGTCCTTAATTGTTACTGATAGCTCAGTTTCCTGACCATTAAAACCCATCAGGGTGTTCCCCTCTGCCATCGTTTTTAATTTCCTCTCTCTTGTTTGCATTGGCCATTTGACGGCAAGGTTTATCCATGTACAAGAAATGTATTCAGATTTAAAATGCTGTGAGAGGGAGAAGTGTATAACAAGGCAAGAGAGACACGCCTGTGTTGTGCTTCTCCCAGTTCCAGGGTTTTAAAATAAAATGCCATTTCCTTTTGCCCTGCCTGCATCTGCTGCTAAATTCTAGCTTTGGTTCATGGGCCTAACTGTAAAATATTGCAGTGTTTGATGGGAGCAGTCTCTGTGTAGCATCGTCTTTCTTCTGGACAGTTGGCATGCATGCATTCATTCATTCATTCATTCATTCATTCATTCATTCAATTTCTCCCTGCTCAGGTCCCCCCAATGGGGGACTCTGGGCGGCTCACACAAAACATTAAAACCATAAATATATATAAATACATAAAACCTAAACATTTAAACACAACATTACTAAAAAAAGGAGAAAGTCCAAGGAGATGATGGATCTGGGGCTGAAGACAGCAGGCCTCTATGGGGCCAGCCATCCCCACGCTTGATGTCTTCTCTCCCCACCCCAGGCCAAGTGGCAGAACCAAGTCTTCAAAGCCCCCCGGAAGGCCAGGAGTGAGGGGGCCAGTTTCATCTCTGTAAGCAGAATATTCCAAAGAGCGGGGGCTACAGCAGAGAAGGCCCACCTTCTGGACCCCGCTAATCGGAGCTCTTTTACCGAAGGGGTCCGAAGCATGCCCTGTGTGATTGGGTGGGATGGGTTGAAGTCATGGGGGAGAGGCAGTCCCTTAGGTAACCTGGTTTTTTCTTGAAAGGATGTAAGGACAAGGGCATTCCTAGGATTCAGAGGTATACTACTATGAAATAGGGTGATTCTGTTTAGGTAATTTGCTGAACAAATTATCTCATGATGTGTTCTTCTTTCCCTTCTGACAGAAACCAGTGTGCAAAATCTGCCAAGGAACTCCTGTGGTGAAATCTTCTGAACATCTCTTCCTGGATCTACCCAAGGTG